GGCAATTGACGCCAAGGGCCGACGCTTCTACATCGACCACGTCAATGAGCGCACGACGTGGGACCCCCCGGCACTCGAGCTAGAGACGGCACGCTCTTTGGATGACACTGCGCACTAGCTTGCACAGAATCCTTGTGGGCACATGAATATAGTGGCATGGACTCGAGGGATGATTTGCGAGCCCATATTGTCTACCAAACCTGTGACATCTACGACTTGAGAGCCTTGTTTTGCGCAGTGCACAAGCTGGGGATCTCCTCTGGTGTAGCAGACGGGGAATGCGTTCTATTAGCACTGCAGAGCGGAGCTTCGAACGCCGACATGAGAGATGAACAACACTCCATTTTGTTCAAGTGGACTTTGAGCATAATGTCTCGTTCTCTAACATCAGTGGTGACGGCGCCGTCACGGTCGACGCCAACGCTTGCGCTGTTGGAGGTACTCGACGATCAGCGGGTGCTGGCGCTTGGTGCCTGCGACCAAGGCGGCGGTGGTGTCGGCGACGTGCGGTCGAAGGGACCAGAGGTACATAAGCACCTGCACGTGTCGTGCTCCATGGTCAAGGCCACTGCTCGCTGCACGCTCTCGTCGGTCAATCGGTTGCCCAAACGACGCACAACGTCTTCGTGTCCATGTTATGCGGGCAGTCAGCAGGCGGCGTCGACACATGTTGTGGGTACACGCGCCAGGAGGAAGCGTACGGCTTTGGCGTGGCCAAAGCGCGCTGCAGTCTCGAGCGTCCATGGCCCAAGATCCGTTACGTTTGCTTCGATGACGAATACCAGAAGGTCCGTGTTGTCTTGGCTCGCAGCAATGTCCAACACGATTGGCGGAAACCCGGCTCGCGGAGGAACGAGAGGGTGCGCAGATGGCCGCTGCGCGTGTTCAGGCGGCCGCACGCCAAGACCGTTTGTGTGCAAGTACTCGGCAATGGCCAAGTGTCCATGTTCGTGCGCCCAGATGAGCGCGCCGGCATTGTTGCCGCGTACACCAGCCTCGTGCAAGAAGTGAGCGACCGACAAGTGGCCACGGTACGTAGCACGCGCCATCATGTCGGGCTAGAACCCGTCGCAGTGCTCTGCAAAGTAGTAGGCGAGCACAGGTAGCTGCTCGTACTTGGCGGCAAGACACCAGTGCGCGCGTCCGGTTGACGTGCACGCGGCGCGCTTTACGAAGATGTGCGATCAACGACAGGTGGCCATAACGAGCGCATATTGAAAGAGACGCCCGGGGACTCGACACTGGCACAGACGAGGCAAGCGGTCGTGGCCGGCCGCGTCCAACCAGGCGCGAAAGCGCGCGTCAAAGGCAGCAAACGCCGCGCGGTCGCGAACATGGTCGGGTGCGGTGGCGTAGAGAGGGCGCACGAGAGGGACCACGTCATGGCTCAAGCCATCTTGGTAGACGAAGACGAGCTGCAGACCACGGCTCCGCAACACCGCTTCGGCCATTGCACCAAGACAAGCCAGCGACCAGATGACTGCTGGTAAAAGGAGCAGGTATGAAGGCCGACGAAGGATCCGTGGTGTAGCGCACGGTGGGGTGCGCAGAGGGTACTGGGGTCCTCTCAAAACAAAAAGAGCACTCTATGAGCCAGAGGTGTTTGTGAGGTCGCTCGAATCGTTCTCCGTAGGCCCAGAGACCGATGAGTTGGTGCTATGAGCTGGCACGCCCAGACGGGCCAGCAATGATCTGATCCAAACTGAGGACAGATGTTCGTCGGTTTATCCGGATTCAGGACGCTCAACTTCAACAAGGATCGAGGACGCTTGTGTCATGCGCGATGTGGACTTGTTTGTTTGCATCGCAGCATGATGCGAATAGTGTGCGCTTGCTGCACAGTGCATGTGTACCGATAGTCTCTTGGAGAGATTTCGCCGGACGGACAGCGCGCCGGAGGACGACAAGCGCTCACCCAACGTTTCCGCAACGAGCGTGATTGGTTCGTCGTGTGCCCTACCTTGACACCACAGCTATCGTGCTTATACATGCACATGCGACACCGTGAATGCACTAAAGACAGCGCGCTCTCCGTCGGCGCGTCCCTTGTACCCGTTGCATGATGAGCGCATCGCTTGCTCTCGCGACACGTACACAGCCTGACAGCCGCCCACCGGCAGCTTTTTCAAGGAGCAGGTGTCGCCGGCCCCGTGCTGCCATCCACGCGGCGTTATGGCAACGTCGCCATCGAGACTCGATGCGTGTACCTACCGGTACTGACCTCGTGGCAGTGTCTCTCGCAACGGCGCACGGTGTCGTTTGGTGCTTTTCTATCGGTGGGAAACGTTGTTTTTGGGACAAACCTCGATTCGTTTCGGTGAAAAATGGGTGTGTTTTGGGACAAACGCTTGCCATACGTGGAAAAAACGACATTTGAGCACGATGCGGTCCCACGGCAGCGACAGCACGACGACAAGCCGCGACTGGACCGACGACCCGCTCCTTCGCGACGCCTTCGCCTGCGCACCCGAGCACTACATCGAGATCCACGAGCCAACGACCAACAGCTCGCGCAAGGTGGCCACGTCGATCAACTCCAAGGCGTCCTTCCGTGGCCACTGTCGCGACTCGCTCCTCGACTGGTACGCGGCTGGCGTCATCTTTTGGTCGCATCTCGTTAACTTTGATACGCTCCTCGTCTTTCTCGTCTCGCTCGGCGCGCCGAGTGCGTACTACTACTACATGCCGGCGGACAGCAGCGGCGTGCCGCAGCACTTTAGCGCCAACCTCTCTTGGATCCTCGTGACCTTCGCCGTCGTTTCGCCCATGATCATGCAGATCCGCCAGGCGTTCACGCGCCGCGAGAATGCGCTCGACGCCATCGCAGAGAGTTCGCGCCTTCTTGTCTGTCCATTGAGGTTGA